AAGTATATAGCCTGCATGCAGTATCAGTACTCAGGAAAGTATATAGTCGGCATGCAGTATCAGTACTCAGGTAAGTATATAGCCTGCATGCAGTATCAGTACTCAGGTAAGTATATAGTCGGCATGCAGTATCAGTACTCAGGTAAGTATATAGTCTGCATGCAATGTCAGTACTCAGGTAAGTATATAGTCGGCATGCAGTATCAGTACTCAGGTAAGTATATAGTCTGCATGCAGTATCAGTACTCAGGTAAGTATATAGCCTGCATGCAGTATCAGTACTCAGGTACACCGGGCTCTTACCTTCTGCCTGGCTCTCTCTATGAACTCCAGGGGGGATTTCCCCATCTCCAGCGCGGCCCCCAGCCAGGGGATCCATCCCCGGATACAGGGGGGAGGCGGCAGACCTCGGGGGGCCCTGGTCAGGAGATGTCTTATCAGCAGCCCGGCCAGGAGTCCCAGCAGGAGCCCCACCGCGGAGCGCAGCTCGATGATCAGCTCCGCCATCCTTCCCCGGCACCTGTCACCCCCGGGGAGCGCAGCACCTGCAGAGCGGAGGGAGGGGGCGGGGCCACATGGACTGCAGACCTTCTGAATGTCAATGGGAGCGCGGAGTGTCGGCGAGAGGGAGATCCTAGCCAGCCAATGGGGGAACGAACGAAAGCTAACCCGCCAATCAGAAGTGTGGGTTGGCCACATAGGCGTGTCTGGGGGCTGGAGGCTACCAGTACATGCCGCTGATTTTCTCTAGAACTACATTTCCCAGCGTCCTCTGTGACAAAGATGACGTCACGTCCCCATGTGACCCCCGCATTCGGTGCGGTTTGAGCTCCGCTTGTGCGGATGGCAGCCGGGGAGTGGACGCTGCCGGACACATGGCCCCGGCTCAGCAAGTTCGTCCTGTCCGCTTGCGCAGCCAGCGTGGCCGAGCTAGGTACCGTCACAGCATGTGGCTGCGGGGTGGCATGGGGCGTCCCAGGCTTGGCCTGAGTTCTGCCATGACACTACAAGTCCCAGCATACCACGTCCGGTTCTGATCGGGCTTGCTGAGACTTGTAGTGCTGAACAACTTTTTTGCATTGTAACGTGTATTTTTATTAAAAATTTGCATATAACTTCTGAAGTTTTGTATAGTTGGGGAAAGTAAACAATCATGAGTGACCTTTACACGATTGCACTTAATTCTTTGCATCCATGTGCAAAATGCATGGGCTGCAATGCACCAAAATGCGTCACCAAAGTGTGCACAGGTCTTGGCAAGGTGCATCAGGATTAAATGTGATTAGTGTAACAATTTCCCCTATTACCCCTAGATGGCACTGGTGAGTATAGGAATTTCCCCTTTTACCCCTAGATGGCGCTGATGAGTATAGGAATTTCCCCTATTACCCCTAGATGGCGCTGATGAGTATAGGAATTTCCCCTATTACCCCTATATGGCACTGATGAGTATAGGAATTTCCCCTATTACCCCTAGATGGCGCTGATGAGTATAGGAATTTCCCCTGCTGCTGAATCCCTCCCACTGTGAGCTGCAGTGCCAGGGAGGGGGAGCGTGTGAGACGCCAATTATGGAGGATTTGGCTCCGTCGCAGATTTTACTTCATGAGGTTTGTGCGTCACATCCAGGAGACTTTAGTTATGAGATTTTCTTTGTCTATGCCTATAGTGACCTTTCCTCTGGATCTGACCAAAACCCGCCTACAGATACAAGGAGAAGCGGCTCTGAAGCAGCATGGAGAAGCAGGACTGGCGGGGCCATATAGAGGAATGGTGCGGACAGCAGTTGGCATCGTGCAGGAGGAAGGCTTACTGAAACTCTGGCAGGGGGCTACACCTGCCGTCTATCGCCACATAGGTAGGTAGCCAAAAAGATATCTGATAGAAAGGCATCAAATATTTGGGCACTGTGGGAAGCCGGGTGTCACTGTATCAGCCCGGACAGACCCTCTGGGCTCCATCTTTAAACTATTTGCATGGTTGTTCGCCTGGCAGGATCTTGCATGTATGCCAAAACAAACGTTCTTTAGTAGTTTCTTTACAAGGGAATGTTTTTTTTCTAGTTGTAATATCACATTATGGCCACCAGATGGCGCCAATGAGCATAGTAAATAAATACTCTTGTGCTACTTTAGCTCCTTCTAGTGGCCACAATGTGATATTACATGACAACATTCCAAAATCCATTCCACTTGTAAAGAAAAAAAACACCTAAAGAACGTTTGTTTTGGAATTTATTCGCACATGGTGAATGTTCAGAGATTGGCAGGACAAACAGCCCTGTGAATTGTTTATAAATAGACTGCTTTGTGTTTGAATGCAAAATAAAATATTTGGCATTTAGAGTGACCCGGAGTACATGGCCGACTCTATTTGGCTTAAGTTTTCATTCCGCCATTTTATTTTCTGCTCACTTTGCTTGCTGATATCTTTATTTTCTGGATGGTTGGCGAGTCTGCGGGTCTCATTGCTTATTTCTATCTTGCACAGTGTACTCCGGAGTCCGCATGGTGGTCTATGAGCAAATTCGGGACTCCCCACTTGGGAAAGGAGATGCTGAGGCCTTTCCTCTGTGGTAGGTAATCTCCAAACTTTATCTCATGTTATTCCTTCTCGGTTATTAGCTGGTATGTATGGACATGGCTGGAAATGACAACGGGCACCATTGGCCTGTGCCTATAAGTGCAAGTTTCATGTCTTTTGGTGGCTGCTACTAAAATCTGATAGCTAGAGCACTCCCTCCTAAGTGGCACTGCAATACCCCTTAAATGGTAAGCTCACTTTTTCAGAAATTGTGAAAAAATGAGCTTACAGCGCCGTCCCCACCTCTGCCAGTCCCCCCTGGTGTTTACGCCCCCCTCGGTGTAGTGATTCCTACACTTGCATTGACAGCCCTGCAGCCTGGCATAATCATAATGCTTGCAAATGGTGAGCGCTCATTGACCACACCGACCAATAAGAAACACTTCAGAGCTGGGGACCAGCTCCCAGAAGTAAGATGGGCTTCTTATTGGTCGGTGCATTCATGTGACCGTGCTGACCAAGGGCTCTGCCGGGCTGTCAATTCCGGTGTACGGATCATTACCCTAGAATGGTGTTTTGGTGACTCCGGTACGTGTGCAGTACCAGTCCGGTCATCTTTCAGATGCGGAAAATAGAACCGGATGCCTAGATCATGTGACTCCAACGTGCATGCAAGGGAGTTCCATCATCAGTGCCGCCATCCCAATGGGCAAAGCAAGAACACTGCAGACCCGAAAGAGGAAAATAACATGGTGCCGGCAATGATGGAGAGGGCGCGGGTAGCTCGGACCTCACTTTGCTGGAGGAGAGCACAGCCAGGAGGAAGCGTTTCCTAATGTGCTAGGATGGCGTGCGTTCTTGCACACCACGGCAATGCTGGTCACCCCCACCATGGTTGAACCTCTTTGCTGTACTGACCTCCTTTGGAAATTTGTTTTTTGCGGGCTGACTTTTTGATGGCTTTAACATTATGATCAGCCATAACATTATGACCCCCCCCCCCTAATTTTGAGTCGGCACCCTTTTGCTGCCAAAATAGCCCTGACCTGTCGAGGTATGGATTCCACTAGATGGTACGCTGTAGGTCCTGTAAGATGTGAGGTGATCGGCCTCCATGGATCGGAATTGTTTTTCCAGCACATTCCACAGATGATCGATTGGATTGAGATCTGGAGGCCAAGTCATCACCTCAAACTCATTGCTGTGTTCCTCAACCCATTCTTGAACCATTTTTGCAGTGTGGCAGGGAACATTATCCTGCTGAGAGAGGTCACTGCCATCAGGGAATACCGTTTCCATAAAGGGGGGTACTTGGTCTGTAAAAATGTTTAGGTCGGTGGTACGGGTAACATCCACATGAATGGCAGGACCCGAGGTTTCCCAGCAGAACATTTCCCAAAGCATCACGCTGCCTCCGCTGGCTTGTCTTCTTCCCATAGTGCATCCTGGTCTCATCTCCTCCCCAGGTAAGCGGCACACACCCGGCCATCCAAATATAAAAGGAAATGTGATTCATCAGACCAGGCCACCTTCTTCCATTGCTCCAGTTCTGATGCTCACATGCCCATTGTAGGTGCTTTTAGCGGTGCACATAGGTCAGCATGGGCACCCTGACCGGTCTGCAGCCACGCGGCCCCATACACAACAACAAGGTGTTCAGACACCTTGTGGAACCCGTATTAATGCTTTCAGCAATTTAAGCTACAGTAGCTTTTCTATTGGATGGACTGCATGGGCCAGCCTTCGTTTTCCATGTGCATCAATGAGCCTTGGCCACCCATGAGCCTCCTGCCGGTTCACAGGTTTTTCCTTCGGTGGACCACTTTTGGTCGGTCCTGACCACTGCAGACCGGGAACATCTCACAAGAGCTGCAGTTTTGGAGTTGCTCTGACCCAGTCGTCTAGACATCACGATTTGGCCCTCGTCAGAGTCCCTCAAATCCTGACACTTGCCAAATTTGTTTGCTTCCAACACATCAACTTCAGGGACACAATGTTCACATGCTGCCTAATATACCCCCCCCCCCCTTCCAGGTGCCTTTGTAATATACCCCCCATCCACTTCCAGGTGCCATTGTAATATATCTCCCCCACTTCCAGGTGTAATTGTAACGTATCCCCCCCCCCCCCTTCTAGGCAACATTGTAATATATCCCCCCCTCCCCCACACTTCCAGGTGCCATTGTAATATATCTCCCCCACTTCCAGGTGTAATTGTAACGTATCCCCCCCCCCCCCTTCTAGGCAACATTGTAATATATCCCCCCCTCCCCCACACTTCCAGGTGCCATTGTAATATATCTCCCCCACTTCCAGGTGTAATTGTAACGTATCCCCCCCCCCCCCTTCTAGGCAACATTGTAATATATCCCCCCCTCCCCCACACTTCCAGGTGCCATTGTAATATATCTCCCCCACTTCCAGGTGTAATTGTAACGTATCCCCCCCCCCCCCTTCTAGGCAACATTGTAATATATCCCCCCCTCCCCCACACTTCCAGGTGCCATTGTAATATATCTCCCCCACTTCCAGGTGTAATTGTAACGTATCCCCCCCCCCCCCTTCTAGGCAACATTGTAATATATCCCCCCCTCCCCCACACTTCCAGGTGCCATTGTAATATATCTCCCCCACTTCCAGGTGTAATTGTAACGTATCCCCCCCCCCCCCTTCCAGGTGCCATTGTAATGGGATAATCCATGTTATTTACTTCACCTCTTAGTGGTCATAATGTTATAGCTGATCGATGTATAAAATTTCCGCCCAGCCATATTGCTGGGCAAATGCCATTCGCGCGGCACTCCCACCACTAGATGTAGCCGAGGCACATAGGAAATTCTTATGCTTCATCTAGTGGTGGAAAAGCATATGGCTGGGTGAAAGTTTGATAAGTCAACTCCAAAGTGTCTGCATTGTGCATGGATGACAGGTACACTTTAAATGCAGGCACAGCCTACTTGCTGAGAGACACTAACTTTCTTGCTCATACCAATTTCCCTTTTCCGCTAATTTCCTCTCTAGAT